ATTACTGTATTGTAGCTCTTATTCCTGCTTTCTACATTTTGGTCTCATATCTTACTCTTTAACAGGTTTTGTTCTTGATGTATCACTACTTTGCTGCGGCTGAGATATACAACGCAATCCGTATCTTTATTGCTGCTTATGTCTGGATGACTGGTTTTGGAAATTTCTCATACTACTATATCAGAAAGGATTTCTCTGTTGCACGTTTTGCGCAGGTGATACGATTCATTCCGTAAACAACTCCTCATTGTACTCTATCTTGCACATCTAAAATCTTGTTCTCTTACAGATGATGTGGAGGCTGAACTTCTTTGTAGCATTTGCCTGTATTGTTCTCAACAATGACTATATGCTCTATTACATCTGCCCAATGCACACTCTCTTCACCCTAATGGTGTATGGAGCTCTGGGTATCTTCAGCAAGTACAACGAAGTTGGTTCAGTGATGGCTTTGAAGATATTTTCATGTTTCCTCGTTGTTTTTTTGATGTGGGAAATTCCTGGAGCTTTTGAAATATTCTGGAGTCCATTAACATTCTTGCTAGGTGATTAACTTCTCTGGATCTGATCATGGGCTCTATATGGAATGAAACATGGAATCAAAGGGGTTTCTAATATTTGGAAGTTTCATGTGAATGAATGCAGGGTACAGTGACCCTGCGAAGCCCGATCTTCATCGATTACATGAATGGCACTTCAGATCAGGCCTTGATCGCTACATATGGATCATTGGAATGATTTATGCCTATTTTCACCCAACTGTAAGTTCTTCAACATAGACACACATTCAGTTTTTTTTTTTTGGGTCTGGTCTTTTGCAGTGTTGATGTAATAAACTTCAAAACTTGCTATGATTCTCTAGGTGGAGAGATGGATGGAGAAGTTAGAGGAATGTGAATCAAAGAAAAGAATATCAATCAAGACCGCTATAGTTACTATCGCTGTGCTTGTAAGTAATTTCAGTCATCTTTGAGCTTATGATTGCATCATCCAATTATACTCAATTGATATATATTTTCCCGTTTGGTCACATTTTAGGTTGGCTACGTGTGGTATGAATGTATTTACAAGCTAGACAAGACCAGTTACAACATGTATCATCCATACACATCTTGGATCCCCATAACGTATGTGTATAAAACCTCTCTTCCGTTATATCCTTCTCTTATTTTACTTACTGAGACGAAAACATGACTCGCTGTTTGGTTTCTGGGATCTAGTGTTTACATTTGCCTTAGGAATTTCACCCACCAGCTTCGGAGTGTGTCATTGACTCTCTTCGCGTGAGTGAACTCGCACTTGTATCTAAGCTAAATCCCGGTTTGATATACTTCCCTCATTTCCATGTAATACTCTTACATTTCTTTGCGCAGATGGCTTGGCAAGATCACTTTAGAGACTTACATTTCCCAGTTTCATATATGGCTAAGGTTTGTTTTCCGCAACTTAAATCTTGTTTTCATGGAAACTTAATTAATTTGATCTCTTGCTGACCAAACACACCAATTTTCAGATCAAACATGCCTGATGGGCAACCAAAATGGCTTCTCTCTATTATCCCGGGATACCCTATGCTCAATTTCATGCTCACAACCGCGATATACATCCTAGTAAGAAACCAAAACAAGCTTCATGCTCTCCCTGTATTTTCTATTTCCAAACTTTCTGAAACATTTTCTGTGTCTTCTCCAGATATCTCACCGTCTCTTCGAACTAACCAACACACTCAAGACAGTTTTTGTACCTACAAAAGACAACAAGCGTTTGTTCTGTAACTTTATAGCAGGGATTGCCATCGCTCTTCCTCTCTATTGCTTCTCATACGTTCTTCTTCAAATTCATCGCTAAAACCTGTGAGTCCCCAAATCGTCTCATTGCCATTTACTCATCTAAATCTAATCCAGTTCATGTTTAAAACTCTGTTGAGATCTATCATTTACAGGTAGAAAGAAGTGTTGTTCTTTGTGGTTTCTTCACTGGGATCTCATCAAAGCAAAATAAGAAAGTGACAAATTTAGTTTTGAGGAGCATTTTCTTGTGCACATTCACCTTCAGAGTTGGTTCAACAAAGCCAGGACTAAGGACCCACAGAAATCAACACTGCTTTGCTCTATTGCCATACAATATCAAAGTGATTGTTTTTTATTCAAATTTTCATTTCTTTGTGTGTTGATAGCTTCTCTAGATTTTGTTTGTAAGCATTAAGCAAACAATCTTTGTGGTTCGTCCAAAAATGTATAGTGATGTTAAAGAATTAACCAAATTACAAAAAGGAGAAAACGGTAAACTCGAAGTCTCTTCACTCTTCTCAAATGTGTTAACCACTCATATGCTTAACATCACTATTTTAGATGTCCTCATTATCCAGAAACAGATTGTTCAGACAGCTTGGAGCTTCCTTGACCTGAAAAGTACAAGAAGATCACAGTCACATCTAGACTCAGACAAAGATTCTTGTACTGGCTGAGTCGATGCTTAATGATCTTCTTGTTCACACCAAAGTTTTCATTTATTTTTTTCTAAATTGAAACAAAGTTAATCTATCTGTTTAACAACTACATAGTGCAATGCTTATTGAAAGATTAGACAATGACATTGCAACATAAAAGTGCTTAGAGGATATTAAATGAGAGTTGTTAAATGTTCTTTGATTTCTTCTAACTTTGATGACTCTGCAGAAGTCATTCAAAAAGTCTATAAAGAAATAATGTAAGACTGACACTCAGTTTTGGATCTTTGTGATCCATTTTTTGTTTCCATTTATATAATACTTGGTATTACACAATTTCGTCCCCACATTATATAACTATCATGTTGTCTTCCACTAGGAATTAGTGCCAGTGGGTAAGATTTTCAAAGTTACTGCTAATAATGAAGCATCAAGAACAGACCAGTTTTAAACATCTGAAAACACATGAATAAATCTTTTATAAATGTGTTGGTCTTTTTGGTTTCCTCAGCTAACCAGACCACAAAATCAAGCAAAACTCAAAAAAGATCAGAAGAAGGAAGATCATAAACATGGATGGTAAATCATCATCAGTACCTACATCTCAGAATCGTAAGAGATGGCTTCATATCTTTATATATTCTTTCTTTGTTCTCTCATGTCAAGCAACAGCTACAATTCTTGGTAGATTATACTATGAAAATGGTGGAAAGAGCAAATGGATGGGATCTTTAGTTCAACTTATCGGTTTCCCTGTTCTTGTTCTGTTTCGATTCTTTTCAACCATCAGAAAACAACCTGAAACCACAACAACAAACACAACAAGTTTCAGACAACTGTCTTCTTTCACAACCATTGGATCTGTTTACATTGGGATTGGATTATTAGCATCAGCAATCTGTTACCTTTCCTCATTTGGCTTGCTCTACTTACCGGTTTCGACGTTCTCTCTCATTTGGGCTTCACAGTTAGTTTTCACCGCTTTCTTCTCATATCTTCTCAACTCGCAAAAGTTCACTCCTTTCATAGTGAATTCTCTGTTTCTACTCATCATTTCCTCTATTCTCCTTGTGTTCAACAATGAGCCACAAGCCACAAAAGTCTCTAAAGGAGAACATGCAATCGGTTCCCTATGTACCGTCGCTGCTTCTGCTGGTTCTGGTCTGCTTCTATCTCTAGTGCAGCTAATACTCAGAAAAGTTCTAAAGAAGAATACATTTTCAGTAGTCATAGACATGGTTTTCTATCAGTCTCTGGTTGCAACATGTGCAATTTTGGTTGGTCTTTTTGCTAGTGGGGAGTGGAAAACTTTAACCGGTGAGATGAAAAGCTACAAACTAGGAGAAGTTTCATATGTAATGACTCTGGTTTGGACAGCTATTACTTGGCAAGTCTACACAATTGGTGTTGTGGGATTGATCTTTGAGTCATCTTCTGTGTTCTCCAATGCTATAACCGCAGTGGGATTGCCTATTGTTCCGATACTAGCAGTGATAGTGTTCCATGATGAAATGGATGGGACAAAAGTCATTTCTACCATTTTAGCTATTTGGGGCTTCATATCATTTGCTTATCAGCATTATCTCGACGAAAAAAAGTTGAAGAACCTTGAGGGAGTTCCTGATCTACCTGTTTCCTCACTAGCCAAAGAAGATAGACACATTAAACAAGAAGCTGCGGATAGCGAGAAAAGCACAGAGATGGATATGATTCACAATAATTTGTGAGTAGTTAGTGTTCTTTCATTTTTTTCCTGCAATATGAGAAATGATATAAAGTGTACTTACCCTAAGGCATATGTTGTACATGAAGCTGGTTGTGTGCTTTTGATAATATTTAGAGCAAATGTTTCTCTATTCAAAACCAAAGAAAGGTATAAAGAACAATGATACAACTTACATAATAATAGCTATAGAATGCAACATTGATCACACAAGATAACCAATCTCATCTTACACAAGACATCTTATAAACAAAAGAGGCAGCAAAAACGCTACTGATAACAATTCACCAATACGAAATGCCTCTCTAATAAGCTCAATACGAACTTTGAGATTTAAGGATTTAGTTAAAACCTTACTCTCTCAAACGTATTTTCCCTAATCATATTGTAGTATAAAAGAGATGGGCCTTAATCTGGCCCAATAGGATATGGAAAAAATGCACAAAGAAAGCAAAACGTTTGATTACATTCAGTTTTCGTTAACAGAGTAGACAAATTCGGAAAATTGTCGAAGGAATTCCAATTGCTTTGGCTTGCTGCTAAAATTCCCGATCACCATTACGATTCTGGAGATGAATCCGTCTTTCTTCCAAGTTTCATGAGATGTGTAAGAATCTCATTTACATCAGGTCGATCTTCAGGTCGAGAGCTTGTACAGATCAAACAAAGCTTCAACAGATCTTCAATGGCTTCTTTCTGTTTCCGAGAAGCGATATTATCCCCGATTTCTGGATCAAGAACCCTAATCATCCCTTTTTCTGTTCCGTCTCCAATCGATTTCTCCACCAATTGACGCAGAGTCATCCCTTGTGATTCTTCATCGTTCAACGAAGTTGGTCTTTGTTTCGTCATGAGCTCCATCATTATGATCCCGAAGCTGAATACATCGACTTTTGTTGTCACTTTGCTCATATAAGCAAACTCTGACCATGAGAGAAAAAAAAGAGTGCGTTTTTAGGTAAATCAATGGCGAAATTTGGATTTAAAGAGAAGAGATTAGGGTTTGTACCTGGAGCTAAGTATCCGATTGTGCCTTGGAAGGCTGAGGAAGAAGCTGTGGTGCTTCCATCTTCACGTAACCCTAGAATCCGAGCAGTTCCGAAATCGCTGACGTGAGCAACTCGATCGCCGTCGAGAAGTATATTCGCCGGCTTCAAATCGCAGTGAACGATTGGGAATCCAAACCCAGAATGAAGATAATCGATTCCGCTCGCGATGTCAACGCATAGATCGATTCTCTCCGAGAGCGATCCAATCGGTGCAGACCCGTGAATCGCACTCTCCAAGCTTCCATTCTCCATGTATGGAAGCACCAAAGCTTTTATTTTTCCACTCTCCCAAGCAAACCCTAAGATCTTGACCAGGTTTCGATGCTTTAACTGGCTTAGTGTTTTGGCTTCTGTGTAGAACCATTTATCTGATTCTGCAGAGAATTGCTTCAGATTCAATACTTTTACTGCAATCACTGTCCCATCTTCTAGTTCACCTTTGTACACTGTGCTTAAGCTGCTTGAACCAATGATGTTTGCTGTGTTGAAACTATCTGTTGCTTGTTCCAACTCCTTTGGTTCGAATCTCTTTAGCTTCAGAGCTGAATCCAAATCCGGTAATGGTGGAGACTGTGATGTGTTCTTGTTCCTTTTCTTGCACCAGGCG